GACGCCCCGCCAGGGGACGCTCCTCACGGGGTGGTCTGAGTAGGGGGAGGGCTGAGCCCATTTGGGGCATCCGGCAGCGCCTCCAAACGGACCCAGGGCAGCTACAGCACCCTCCCCACCCTCCCTCCCCCTGGCCGCTTGCCGTTCTACAGGCGCCCCACTCAGCTTTCAAGGGGCCGGTCCCAATCTCCCCCTTGGTCCCCCCTCTCTCGGGAAGCAGCAGCGCCCCCCCCAATGCAGCCGGTGGGCCTTCCCCTCTCATGCCGCAGTCCTGCAGACTCTTCATTTCCTAAGCCCCCCCCCCGGGTGCAGGAGCCCCCCAAGGAAGACACGGGAGGGAGAGGAAGAGGCTCAACTCACAGCATCGAAGGATGCAAGAGACTCTGCAGTCCCAGGTGGGAAGCCAATGAGACACCGAGTGGGGGGTGGGCCCCAAGATGGGCGGGGGTCCCTCCTGCCAGGGCTGAGCAGTTGCCCAGTGCCCCCTCCTCCCTGCCCCCTTCAGCAGCCCAGCCTTGACCCTCTCTGGCAGGGCAGGGGCTCCCGTCTGCTCCTTCCCCCCCCCACGCCCGGCATTGGCGGGAGCAGCCCCCTCCCCACTGCGGAGGCGGCAGCCGCGGCAGTGGCGGGCGGCACCAGCGACAATATCCGGGGTAATGAAGCAGGCAGAGCCAACGGCCCCCCCAGGACCACTTTCCCCCTACAAATCTCCCTTCCGCTCACTTTTTCCTGAAGAATTTTAACACCAAACTTAATTGTAAAGTCGCGGATTGATTGGAAAATGCAAATGGCAATTTAAATGTAATCTAAGCTCCCAGCACGATCCCCGGCTCCCTCCGAGCAGGAAACCCCCCCCCCCCGGCCCAGCCTGCGTTGGAGCAGACACGTGCCCCCCCCCTCCCGCCCCTCGCCCCCTTTTGGGCAGGGCAGGGCCAGAAGCGGCCAGGGGCTGGACATCCTCCCCGCCCCGGGGGGGCTTCAACCCCACTTGCTGGGCCCAGCGGGATGCGGGGTGGACGAGGGACGAGCATCCCGAGACAGACCTGGCCCCGTCCAGTAGCTGGAGACCCGTTTTCGTAATGAGGGGGGGTCTTTCCCTACAAAGGTGGGGGCCACATAGACCAGGTGGGGGTACCCAAGAGGAGCCAGTGGCCCCCTTTCCTGCCAGCTCAAGTCCCCACTGAGCAAATCTGTCCCCCACCCCCCCCCCCTCAGCCAGAACAGAGCTCCAGGAAAGCCTCAATGCACCCGACTGCCTGCCCGGGGGTGGGGGGTAGGGGAAAAAAGCCCCCCACCTTTTTTCCAGGAAGGGCCCCAGTGGATCCCCCCCCTTTGTGCAGAGAGGCCTGGACCCTCCCCAGGGAAGACACGCCACCGCCACCGTCCCTCGGAGAGAGCAGAGGGTCGCCAAGGGGGCAGAGCTGGCGAGGAAGACCGGGGAGGGGTGTCCCTGCATCAGAGGCCTCCAAAGCCCCCCCCCAGGCTGCGGTTCCCCCCGCCCAACATTCATGAAGGCAAAGCGAAGCGGGATGGAGGGCCAGTGACGCCCCCGCCCACGGGGGGGCGGCTGGCATAGCAGAGGCATGCCACACATCAACACACACGGGCACAGACGGGCAACGCATGGAGAAACACCAGGGACCAACATGGAGGATGCCTTCTCCTCGCCCACACCTTCACGGCCTCTCTGCTCTCCCCCGGCCCCGCCGGGCCCGCCGCCATGGGAGGGGAGGGGAGGGGAAAAATGCCAACCTGCTTAATGGGGATGGCCCTCCCACTTCCAATCGTGTCGGCCTTACACTCGGGGGGCTTCCGCTCGATGTCGGGGCCTTTCCGAGACTGGAAGAGAAGGAGAGACACGCGAGCGTTAGCACCCCCCAGCAGGAGGCAGGGCCGGGGGGGGAGGCCCCGAGAAGCCCACCCACCCCACCCACCCACCCCAGCAGCCCAGTTGACACACACACACGCACGCACGTCCACACCACACGAGGCCACGAGATGGGGTGGCAGAGACGAGAGCGGGATGGGATGGGAGCTGGGCGGCGGCGGCAGCAGCGTCGGAGAAGGCGCGGGGAGGGCAGAGGCAGAAAAGGCGGCGGAAGGCAGAAAAAAACAGCACCAGCCCCTCCTCAGTCCAACCGTTTATTGGGTGAACACAACGGGCACCTGATACAAAGTCTGTCGCAGAGCTCCCGGGGCCTGGCAGCCCCTCACAACGGAGCATCAACATGGAAAACAGCTAACTTTATACACTGAGAACAGGCGGAAGACAGCGAGAGAGAGAGAGAGAGAACGAGACAGAGAGAGAGAGAACGAGAAAAAGAACTCGAATTCATCACCATCATCCAAATAATTCGATGGATCAATCAATAAATAAAGCCGGGAATGTACAGTCCGTCGAAGGTGCTCGAGACACAGCGGAGAGGATTGCGAGCGTCACGCGGCACGAGGCGCAAATCGAGACATTCAGAACCACACAAAAATGGCAGCAGGAGAGCGGCGTCCTCCCTCGGCCGTCCCATCATCCAGCGGGGCCCACCGAGCCCTCCGTCCGTCCATCCGACGAGGCAGCCGGCCGCTAGCCCGGCCGCTCCGGAAGGGCCCACCCGTCCCGACCAATGGAGCTCGGAAGAAGGCCGAGCCACCGACGGCTGCTTTGCTCAGAAGAGGAAGAGGAGGAGGAAGAGGAGGACGAGTCCATGCAGGAGGAAGGAAGGAAGAAAGGAGAGGAGGAAGACGGAGAGCGAGGAGCGGCGGGCGCGAACGGCAGCAAAGCGTCCCTTGGCCCCCTCCGTGTCTCCTGGCCCGTTCCGGCGGTCCCGTCCGTCTTGCGAGGTGATGCCGCCGCCGCCGCCAGGCGTTCCTCTGCACGCCCGCCGGTCCCGGGGTTAAAGTGCGGCGCTCGGAGGCTTTACGGAGGGGGGAGAGAGGAGGGGAGAGAGGCTCCGGCGGGTCTCCGGGAGGCGGAGGACGGGGACCCGAGCGAGCGAGCGAGCGGCAGGCGGGCAGGCCACTACTCTGAGATCAGTCCCAATGCCTCCCCCTGATCCGGCCCTGGAGAGCAACGAGAAGGGAGAGAATTGGTACCGAGCGGCCTGCGGGGAGGAAGCCGGGGTGGGGGTGGGAGGCAGAGGGGTGGGGGGGTGGGGTCGTCTAATTGGGAAGGACTTGGAAAGGCCGCTTGGTTGATGAAAAGTTGGAAACCGTGGCGCAAATCTGCAACATCAAGAGAACAGAGAGGTGGGCGGGTTAGAAGACGGAGGCGGCGGTCGCGGCCACCGTCAGAGGCAATGCCACGCCGTGCGTGTGCTTGTATGTGTGTGTGTGTGTGTGCGCGCGTGCGTGCGTGTGTGTGTGTGTGCGTGCGTGTGTGTGTGTGTGTGGCAGCAACAGCAGCAGCAAACAGCCGGCTGAGCAGCAGCAGAGCACGGGCGTCTGGCTCCCCCTGCTGGCCAGACGCCGCCGGCACCACTGCACCGTAGAGAGACGGGAGGGAGCCGTGCACGGAGGAGGGGGGAAAGGAGGAGCCAGGAGGGAGGAAAGCAGCGGGGGGTGGGGGGGTGGGAGGAGGAAGCAGGAGGGGGAGCTCCAGCCCTGCCCCGAAGCCCCCCACCTCCCCCTGGCCTGAGAGGACAGCCGCTAGCCACCACGTTGCTACGGGACTCAGACAAGGCAGGCTAATGGGCACAAGCCATTCTGGAAGGGGGGGTACACAGAGGGGCCCCCCACTAGCAAAGCAAGCGCAGCAGGAGGAAGGGGCAGTGGGGAGGGGAGGGAGCTGGGGGGGGGCAAGCAGAGGCGGGAGGGAGGGCAGAGCCAAAACAGAGACCCCAAAGCAGCCATGTATTTGGGAGGGGGAGAGACACGTTCACGCCGGAGAGCCAAACAGAGGGCGCCCCCTCCCAGCGCAGCAGGGGCTGCCCTCCTACCCAGGCATGGGGGGGGTCTGCTCCCTGTGAGCCCTGTGTCTTTGGGGTGCCTTTCCCTGCACCCAGAACTGGTCAGCCGAGGTCCAGGCACCTCCCCCTTGGAAAACCACGAGGACCCCCCCTCCTTGCACCCAGAGCACCCAGGGGGAGGAGGGGGGGGGCGTCTTTCCTACTGGGTCTAGTTTATACTCCCCCCCCACAAACGGGATCACTGAGCCTCGTTCCCCCCCCCCCAAATCCATTTCTGTACTCAAAACTCCAGGCCGGTCCTGCTGGGGGATCGGTGGGAGTTCACCGATTGGGGGGGGGTCTTTAAAGGCTTGGAAATCCCAAAGAGGGAGGCCCCCTCCTCCCTCCCCCAAGGCCAGATCCGAAACCTGCCCCCCCAACCCGGGCCCTGCCTGGGTGGCCGGAACCCCCTTTCTGTGGGAGAGGGAGCCCGTTCGTAATTGTGTGTGTGTTTGGGAGGGGTCAGCCACCAGGCTGCCTGCGTCCCACAGAGCCCCCCGCCGAACTCTTCCCCCACCCTCAAGCCCTGCGGTTCAGGGGAGGCTGGCAGTTCAACCCCGGTTCCACACCCCCCTACAAAGGGGCAGGCCCAGCCCTTCGGGGGGGCTCCCCCTGGGCCTGCCCCCTCCCCGAATCCCGGGACTCACTGTGAAGATGTTGGAGCGGCGCTTGGACTGCTTGCGGATGGGGGTGGGGGTGTTGGAGGCGGCGATGGTCTCGATCCGCAGCTCCCGCTGGCTGATGCTGGGCGTGGAGGGCACGGAGGAGGAGTAGTCACTGAAGGCCCCGCCCCCGTTGGCAGCCTGGGCACACAGGGGCAAGCTGTGAGCAGGGGGGGGGGGGCGGGAGACCCACCCCGGCCCTGTCCTTTCCCGGGCGAGACCCTCCCCGTTCGAAGACCCTTCCTCCCCGCCCCGTTTCCATCATCCGGGACGGTCAGCCACTGGGCCAGCCCACCTGCCCAAACTTGGATTAGGGGCAGACCCATCTCGACAGTCCTAAGAACCCCCCAGGGCCCATGCTGCTCCCCCCCTGCCACGAGCGGCAGGGCCCCCCACCTCAAATGGGAGCAAGAATCCAGGCTCCTCTCCCGGGAACCCCCTCCCCATCGTGGGACAGAGTTCCCGAAATTGGACAAGCAGGAGCCGTGGCGTTGCTCCTCTCAGACTGTCCGTTTGATGAAGGAGGGTGGCCTAGACCAGTGGTGGCGAACCTATGGCACGGGTGCCAGCGGCGGCACTCGGAGCCCTCTCTGTGGGCACACGTGCCGCTGCCCCACCCTCGCCTCTGCCCGTGACCCCCTCCTCACCAGCAGCCCCTCTGGAGGAGAGTCACACCCCAAGCGTAGCCCACGCGGAGCAGCGCAGCCAAGGGCGTGGCAGCCAGGCAGCATAGACAAGACTCTGCCCTCACGGCCCAACACGTACAGTTGATGCTGCGGGGCGCGGGCAGAGGGCATGGCTGCCGGGGCACTGCCGGGCTGCCTGGGCAATCTACGGCGGGCCCTGGAGGCGGTGAGTGACCCTGCAGGCAGACAGGGAGGGTGGGGCGGGGCAGGGGGCGGGGCCAGTTTTGGGGCACTCGGTCTCTAAAAGGTTCGCCGTCACTGGCCTAGACACACACGGGGCCCAATAGGAAACGGGCCACTGCAGCCCAAGAATGAGGCCCGGGGACAGCGAGGGCACGCTTTGAAGAGGGGGGGTCCAAAGGCCCAAAGAGGGGGGCAAATTTGCATGTGGCAAAAAGGAGCCCAAGTGCCCGGCTGGGTAACCCTCCAGGGCTCCTCTCCGCCCCAAACAAGCCAGGGGGTGCAGTGGGGTGCGGGACGCTGCGACGTGCCCGCCACCCTGCCCACCCCAATTTGGGCGGCGGCCCCCCTCCCCTCTAGGCGAGGGCGGGGCGCCCTCCGCTCAGCCCCACCTGGTTGATGTGGACGGTGGGCACGGAGGCGGCCGAGACGGAGGAATGGCTGGGCGAATTCGGGAGCGACTTGCACGGGCCAATGGAGAGCTGCTGCTTCTTCCGCAGGGCCACCACCTTCTGCGCCACTGGGGGGTGGGGAGATGAGAGAGGGGTGAGGGCTGGGTGAAGGGCCCCGAGCAGGAGGGCCTTCCCCTCCCCCCCACAGGTCCCCCCTCTCTCCTACCGTCCTGGAAGACACGTTCCACGTTCAGCCCGTAGGTGGCGCACGTCTCGTAGTAGGTGCAGCGCTTCAGGTCGTTGGACAGCTTCCGGGCCCGGGAGTCGTCGATCACCCGGGGGTTGGTGGCGCTGATGGCATCTAGGGGGGAGGGGGGCAGGAGCCGCTGTGGACGCTGCTGTGAACCGGGGGGGACTCCCTTGGCCCTGCCCCCCCCATAACAGCAGAGGGGGGGACGAGAACTGGGCCTACACCGCAAGGACTCTGGGACGCCAGCCCTACGGGGAAGGCAACTAAAGCCGGTTGAGTCACAGCCCCCAACTGTCCCCCCCCAGCTGGAGGAATGGGGTTAGGGGTTCGAGTCCTCAAGGGAGGGGAGAATCAAAGCCCCCGCTCCCTGCATCCTGGCTGGAAAAGGAGCCGAGGAAGGGAGGGGAGGGCTCAACGCTCACGGCTAAAGACCCAGAAAGATTTCCGACGGGACGGGGGAGCCCCCCGTCCCCAGCTCCAGCTCAGAGAGAGGTCACCCTCTTACTCCCTCCCTCCCTCCCTGCCAAGAGAGGTCCTCGGCCCCCCGTCCGCCCCTGCCCACCTTGGGTGCCCACCAGCACCATGGGCACCTCCGACGTGTTGCGGTAGCTGCACAGGCGCAGGTAGTAGTTGTAGACCGTCTGGAAGCTGATCTCGTCCTCCAGGCTGAAGACGAAGACCACCGCGTCCACCCAGGCGGCAAACTGGAAGAGGCAGGGCAGGGAGGGAGGGGGGGGTCTCAAGAGCCCGTCCGGCACTGACCAGGGCGCCCCCGGGCTGCCCGGGGGCGCCCCCGGGAGCCGTCCGGCGGCCGGGAAAAGGTGCATGCGGTGCCGCGCGCCCTACCTGCAGCTCAGGCGGGCCGCCCTCGTCACGGATCAGCAGCAGGTAACTCTGCCCGTCCACCACGATCTCCTTCTTGAATCGGCCGCCTGGAGGCAGAGGGGACGGGGCGGAGGCTGAGTCTGCCGGACAGGTCCCCCCTCCCCGGGCCAGGCTTTGGACCTGGGGAGGGGGCAGACCCCCACCCTCTGCTGGGGGAATCAGCCCCTTCAGCTGCAAGGCTCCCCGCGGACAGGCGGGACGGGGAATGCAACATCGAGAAAGCAGAATGCCCCCCCCAATTTCTGGGGCACTTGCTGTGTCTCCTCTGGACCAGGAGCCCCCCCCCCGCTTCTTGGGGGGGTGAGATGGATGACCCAGGGACCTCAAACCCCACAGAAGGCCAGGCTAGCACATAACTGCCTCTGCATGCGGGGGGGAGGGGACTACAGCACTTCGGGGGGCGCTGGGAGGGGCTAGGAATGGCCGCCGCCTTCTCAGCACCCCCAGCAGTGGGGAAGCTGACGGGGTTTGTCTGGGGCTTGCCTAATACCCCAAAGCAGGAAGGATTCTGTCCCAATGCAATCCCCCCTCCCCACAATTTGGAAAACAAGCCCCCCGAGGACTTTTCTGGCACCCGCCCCCCCCTCATTCCCAGGGGAGCAGCCAAAAGTGGGGTGCCCCCTCGGCCAAAGAGGGACGGGCCGAGGACACGCCTTTTCCGTCCAGAGGCAGGGAGCATGTGTGTGTCTGGAGGGGGGGTCCCCCTCCATCGCTTCTCTCGGCCATTTTATCGGCCGGCTGCAACGGGGAGCCCCCGGCGCCCCCTTTTCTTGTGCAGGACCCCCCCCCGCACTGACCTTCCGGGGACTCCTCCTGCACGTAGGTCCCAGTGAGGTAGCGGTGCACCAAGGCTGACTTCCCGCTGGACAGGTTTCCCACAATCCCCTGCGAGAGAAAGGGGGAGCCTGAGAATTCCCATCACCGCTGGAGACCCCCTCCCCCTGGTGGCCTCTGAGGGAAGATCAGCTCCCCCATCCTCCCCCCCAACAATGGAAGAGAAGAGGTGGCAGAAGTACCCCTCTTGGCCACCGGGGGCAGGCAAGGAACAGAATTTCATTTTTAATGTTTGTCAGTGCTACAATAAAGGTTATCTATCTATCTATCTATCTATCTATCTATCTCTTTATCATCTATCTATCTATCTCTATCTCTATCTATCTATATCATCTATCTATATCATCTATCTCCTATCTATCTATATCTCTGTCTCTCTCTATCTCTATCATCTCTATCTATCTATCTCTTATATATCTCCTATCTATCTTTCTCTATCATCTATCTCCTATCTATCTCCTATCATCTATCTCCTATCATCTATCTCCTATCTATCTATCTATCTATCTATCTATCTATCTATCTATCTATCTATCTATCTATCTATCTATCTATCTATCTGTATCATCTATCTATCTATCTATCTATCTCTCTATCTATCTATCTATCTATCTCTCATATATCTCCTATCTTTCTCTATCATCTATCTCCTATCTATCTCCTATCATCTATCTCCTATCTATCTATCTATCTATCTATCTATCTATCTATCTATCTATCTATCTATCTCCTATCATCTATCTCCTATCTATCTATCATCTATCTCCTATCTATCTATCTATCTATCTATCTATCTATCTATCTATCTATCTATCTATCTATCTATCATCTATCTCCTATCTGTCTGTCTGTCTGTCTGTCTATCTATCTATCTATCGTCTATCATCTATCTCCTATCTATCTCCTATCTATCTATCTATCTATCTATCTATCTATCTATCTATCTATCTATCTATCTATCTATCTATCTATCTATCTATCTATCTATCTCTCCTTCCTATCTCTACCTAATCTATCTCTTTCTCTATCTATCATCTATCATTTCTCTATCATCTCCTATCTATAATCTATCTATCCAATCTAATCTCTCTATCTTCTCTATTTATAATCTATCTAGCCAATTTATCCAATCTCTCTTTATCTCCTATCTATAATCTATATATCCAATCTCTATCTCTATTTCCTATCATCTATCTTTCTCTACCATCTATAATCAATGTATCCAACCTACCTCTTTATCTGTCTAACTTTCTCTATCATCTATCTCCTATCTATAATCAATATATACAATCTATCTAATCTAATCTCTATCTCTTTATCTGCTGTCTGTCCGTCCGTCCATCCATCCATCATCTCCTATCTATAATCTATCCAATCTAATTATCTCTTTATCTATCTATCTCTTTCTCCATCATCTATTTCCTATCTATCTATCTATCTACCTACCTACCCACCCACCCACCCACCCAGGAGGGTCACCTCCTCTCCCCCCCAAGCCAACAGCCCACTCCTCCCCCAAACCTGTCAATGAAAGCCCCCCCCCCCCGTTTACTCACCACCTTGAGCTCTGGCACGGAGCGGCTCAGGGTCCACTCCTGGCTGTTCACGAAGGAGTCTGCAGGGGGCGAGAGAGAGCGCGGGAGGGTCAGGGTAGGCAACCTTGGCTCATTTTTATGACTGGTGGACTTCAACTCCCAGAATCCCCTCTACCAGCACGGCTGAGCTTGGAAACCTCTCCCTTTCCCCTCAGCATGACCGGCTGAGGAATTCTGGGAGTTGAAGTCCCAAAAGGGGCCAAGTTCGAAGACCCAATAGAGAGTCTATAGAACAGGGGGTCTTCCAACTTGGCCCTTTGGTGACTTCAACTCCCAGAATTCCTCAGTCGGCCATTTTGATGACACCGAGGGCTTGGATTTAGACTCTCAGGGGTTCTTCCAACTTGGGCCTTTTCTGACTTGTGTGGACTTCCCCTCCCAGAATTCCTCAGCCAGGCAGGCTGAATTCTGGGAGTTGAAGTCCACAAGTTAGCAGAGGGCCAAGTTGGAAGACCCCCCTGCTGTAGCCAGATGTTTGGGCAGATGGGGCGGGGGCAAAAGCTTCTAGCCCCCAGTCTGGATCCAGAGGGGACCCACTTGCCGGAATGCGAGTGCGAATCCTTCCACACATCCCCGGCTTGGATTCAACCCTAACCCTCGGCTGCCCCCCCCACAGGCCCCCCTCCCCCCCCAAACAGTGCGCCCCCCCGTCCCATTGAGCTTGCCCCCACGGCGGCAGCCCCCCCTCACTTGCCCACATGGAGGGGTCCCCCTCTGCAATGGCTTTGCCGTGTCCGCCAGAGCGACCTCTGCTGAGAAGGACCCACAAAGGTCATCTAGTCCACCCCCCTCCAATCAGGAAGCACCCATTGGGAAAACCAGTGGTATTCGCCCCCCCCCACTGTAACCCTCAGGGGAATCCCCGTCTCTGACCCCTCCCAAAGAGCCCCCAACTCAGACTATTGAAGGAGGTGCCCGTCCCGACAGCGCTCCTAGGAACGGCCGGCCCGGGGGGGGGGGGAGTCTGAGTGCACCCCCCCCAATTCACCCGGTGGGGGTGTGTGCCCTGACAGTCGGTTCCCCGCCTCTGAGAGGCAGCGTCTGCAACCGATACAGCGATTCCCTCTTTCTGCAACGACGACCCTGCGGGGTAGGCAGGGCCAAAGCGTCCAAGCAAGGTCCACAGCCGAGAGGGGATTCGAACTCGGGGCCCGGCGCAGCCACGCCGAACACTCGCCCTCCCAACAGGCTGGCACCCACGGAGACCAACCGTGTGTGGGGGGGAGACTGGAGTGGCAGCGCCTCCCCCTTCCCCAGCAGGACGGGGGGGGGGAGACACCTACTTGCTCCCCACAAGCGGGTCTCAGAATAGGGTGGGGGGGCTCCCTCTCCCCAGCCCCCCCTGCCCCACCCAGTCCGCCTGCACGGCAGCAGCAGCTCCCAACTGGGCCAGTCCCAGCCAGGGCGGCACCCAAACTGGTTCCACAGGTCTGCTTGCGTTGAAGCAGCTCCCCCCACGCCCCCCCAAGCAGAGGGGGGGGTCACGTTCCCCACCCCAGGCAGGAGAGAGCACCAATTTTGGAGGGGGGGCACGTTAGGGAACCCCCTTGGAAGCCCCCCACCCGCCCGGAACCAGAAGCATCTGGGGATCTGGCTCCCCCCCTTCCAACAGCTGGGGGGCCTCTCTGCCAGGTCAAAGAACCTGTTCCCCCCACCCCCCCCAGCCTTGCTCAGTCAGGCCCAGCTAGGTTGCCCCCCCAGCCCCCCCAGTAGTTAAGCCCCTGGGAGGGGGGGTCATTCTCCCCCTCATGATGGGGAGGACAGCCCCCTTGTTTTGGGGGGGAAGATGGGGACCCCCCCTTGGCCCTGGGGAGGGGGGGAATGGGTCAGCGAGCCTCAGCTGACCGCACAACGGCAGGACAGAGCCAAAGGGGGGCGCTGCCATCCAGCCCCCCCCTTCCTGCACCCCCCCCCCGAGAAGCCGCCTTAGTGCCAATCCCGCCGCTGGCATCACCCCTTGGCAGAAGTCGGGGACCTGCCTGGGCTCGTCCGTCCTTCCTGCCCCCCCCAGTTCCTCCCCCCCCACACCTGGCATTCAGGGTGTGCCCCCCAAAAGGTGTGGGGGGGGTGGATCTTCCCAAGGAGGCCCCTCCCTCTGCACTGCCTCCAAGCAGCCCCCCCTACTGCCCAGTAGCCCAACTTAGGCGCTGGACACCCCCCTCCCCATCTTGGCCCCCCACATGTGGGGGGGGGGGCAGAAGGAGGCCAGGCCAGCCCCTCCCTCCCTCCCACCCTCTCCACCTTCCTCTTTCCTCGCCCGCTTCTGTTTTGGCACTGGCACAAACACAACACACACACACACACACACACACACACACACACAAACACCCCATTCCTGCTTCCCACTGCTTGGCACCCTGTCCATGCCGCCAGAGCAGAAACCGTCACCCCGTTGGGTGGTGTCCCAGTTCTTCCCCCCCCCTTTCAAGCTGCAGCCGTGCCTCTCTGGCTGCGGTGGGGGGGGGGAGGACCAGGCCCCCATCCCTGAGGAAGACTGGAACCCAGCACCCTCTCCCAAATTGGGAGGAAGGTGCCTCGTCCTTCTGGCCCCCCCACCAGGGAGATTAGGGAGCACCCGGGGTGGGGCCCTGCCCCGGCAGAGACAGACCCCTCCCACCCGGGGGGGGGAGCTGGGATGGGACACCCCTCCAACTTCGCCCCCCCCCAGAACCTGGAGACTCCCATTACTTTCTGGGTAGTAAGAATAACACCTCCCCCCCCAAAAGAAAGATGGGCTTTGGAATCCTCCCGTCGCCATCGCTTCCTTGAGGGGGGGTCTCTTTGCAGAGGTGGCCTCCTGCAGCTTCCCCCCCCCCAGAACTCTGCACTCCCTTTCCTTTTTGGGTAGTAACAGTAACAACCCACCCCCACCCCCCAAAAGAAAGAATGGGCTTTGGAATCCTCCCCTCTCTACCCTGCCGTCACTTCCTTGCAGGGGGGGTCTCTTTCCAGAGGTGGCTCCCTCCAACTCCTCCGCAGCCCCCCCCAGACTTGGAGATTCCCATTACTTTCCGGGTAGTAAGACTAACCCCCTTCCCCCCCCAAAAGAAAGATGGGCTTTGGAATCCTCCCGCCTCTACCCTACCGTCGCTTCTTTGCGGGGGGGTCTCTTTCCAGAGGCGGTTCCCCCCCAGTCCTCCGCAGCCCCCTCCCCAGAATCTGGAGACTCCCATTACTTTCTGGGCAGTAAGAATTAAGCCCCCCCCCCCACAAAAAGAAAGATGGGCTTTGGAATCCTCCTGTCTCTACCCTGCAGTCGCTTCCTGGGGGGGGGTCTCTGTCCACAGGCCCCCCCGCCCTCTGCAGCCCCCCCCCAGAATCTGGAGGCTCCCATTACTTTCTGGGTAGTAAGAATAAGCCCCCACCCCACAAAAAGAAAGATGGACTTTGGAATCCTCCCACCTCTACCCTGCCATCGCTTCCTGGCGGGGGGGTCTCTGTCCAGAGGCGCCCCTCCAGCCCTCTGCAGCCCCCTCCCCAAAATGTGGAGACTCCCATTACTTTCTGGGTAGTAATAGTAACAACCCCCCCCAAGAGAAAGATGGGCTTTGGAATCCCCCCGTCTCCAGCCCCCAATCCCTTTCTTGGGGGGGTCTCTGTCCAGAGGCGGCTCCCCCCAGTCCTCTGCAGCCCCCTCCCCAAAATGTGGAGACTCCCATTACTTTCTGGGTAGTAAAACTAACTCCCCTCCCCCCAAAATGAAAGATGGGCTTTGGAATCCTCCCGTCTCCAGACCCCAATGGCTTCTTTGAGGGGGGGTCTCTGTCCAGAGGCGGTTCCCCCCAGCCCTCCGCAGCCCCCTCCCCGAAATTACTTTCTGGGTAGTAAGAATAATCCCCCCACACAAAAAGAAAGATGGGCTTTGGAATCCTCCCATCTCTACCCTGCCATCGCTTCCTTGCGGGGGGGGGTCTCTTTCCAGAGGCGGCTCCCCCCAATCCTCCACAGCCCCCTCCCCAAAATGTGGAGACTCCCATTACTGTCTGGGTAGTAAAACTAACCCCCCTCCCCCAAAAATGAAAGATGGGCTTTGGAATCCTCCCGTCTCCAGCCCCCAACCCCTTTCTTGAGGGGGAGTCTCTTTCCAGAGGTGGCTCCCCCCAGCCCTCCGCAGCCCCCTCCCCAAAATTGGAGACTCCCATTACTTTCTGGGTAGTAAGAATAACCCCCCCACACAAAAAGAAAGATGGGCTTTGGAATCCTCCCGTCTCCAGCCCCCAATTGCTTCTTTGAGGGGGGGGTCTCTGTCCAGAGGCGGCTCCCCCCAGTCCTCCGCAGCCCCCTCCCCAAAATGTGGAGACTCCCATTACTTTCTGGGTAGTGACAGTAACAACCCCCTCAAAGAGAAAGATGGGCTTTGGAATCCTCCCCTCTCCAGCCCCCAACCCCTTTTCTGAGGGGGGGTCTCTCCCCCCCCCGTGGCTGCAGACCCTCCCCCCTCCTCCCCGCTTCTTACCGGGCCGCCTGGCTCCGCTCAAGCGCAGGGCCGTCAAGACGGGCTCGGCTCCCCGCCGGCTCCAGAGCGGACCCGGCCGGGCGCGGGGCTCCAGGGCCGCCGCCGCCGCCGCCCTCCCCGCCTCCGCCGGCCAGAAGCGCTCCCGGCGCCGGAGCCGCTGGCCCAGCTGCTTCCAGAAGCCGCCGCCCGGCGAGTCCCGCTTGGCCGGCTGGAGGCTGGAGGCGGCGGCGTCGCCCTCGCTGCGGCTGCGGAGCCGGGCCGGGCGCGGGGAGCCGGCGCTGGGCGGCGGCGGCGGCCCGCGGCGCAGACGGAAGCTGAAGCTCTTGCGCAGGCGGCTGCTCAGGCTGCCCGACGGCGGGCCCCGCCGCCGGCTGCCCCACAGCGAGCCGCCCCGGAGGAAGACGCCCCCCGCCGCGGGCTGCTCGGCCGGGAAAGGCGGCGGAGGAGGCCCCGCGGCCTGGCCGGCCCGACGGGGCGAGCGCAGGCGCAGCAGCTCCAGCAGGCCGGCGCGGGGCCTGGACGGGGCCTGCAGCCCGTCGGAGCCGGCGTAGAGGCTCCGCGGGCGCCGCCGCTGCTGCTCGGCCGCCGTCAGGGCGGCCCGGACGGCGGGCGCGGCCTGCAGGTCCAGGGAGTCGCCCACGCTGAGGGCCCGTCGGGGCTCCCGCCAGCCCTCCGCCATGCTCCGGCCAGGGGAGCGCGGCCTGCTCCCCCGGCCTGGCGCTGCGGCCTGCTCCCTCCGCCGCCGCCGCCGCCGCTGCCTCGGCAGCTCCCGCGAGGCCCCGACATGCCCGGACTTGGGAGAGGAGGCGGCGGCGGAGGCCTGTCAAGCCCGGCGCGGATCCCGCCCCGCCTGGGAGGCCCCGAGCCGCGCCCTGAGCCGCCTTCCGACGGGGGGCACGGGGAAGGGGCCCCGGAGGACGGGTGGCGCGGGCCTGTGGGACCCATGCGCCACGGCCTCCTCCTGGAGGACCCATGTGCCACGGCCTCCTCCTGGAGGACCCATTCACCACATTCTCCTGGAAGACCCATGCACCATGGCCTCCGCCTGGAGACCCATGCGCCACAGCCTCCGCCTGGAGACCCATGTGCCACAACCTCTTGGAGGATCCATGCACCATGGCCTCCTCCTGGAGGACCCATGCACCATGGCCTCTGCCTGGAGGACCCATGTGCCACCACCTCCTGGAGAACCCATGCGCCATGGCCTCCTCCTGGGACCCATGCGCCATGGCCTCCCCTGGAAGACCCATGCACCATGGCCTCCGCCTGGAGACCCATGTACCACATCCTTCTCCTGGAGGATCCATGCACCACATCCTCCTGGAAGACCCATGCACCATGGCCTCCGCCTGGAGACCCATGTGCCACAACCTCTTTGAGGACCCATGCACCAGGGCCTCCGCCTGGAGACCCATGCGCCACAGCCTCCAACTGGAGACCCATGTGCCACAACCTCCTGGAGGACCCATGTGCCACAGCCTCTGCCTGGAAGACCCATGCACCATGGCCTCCGCCTGGGGACTCATATGCCACAACCTCCTGGAAGACCCATGCGCCTTGGCCTCCTCCTGGAAGACCCATGCACCATGGCCTCCGCCTGGAGACCCATGCGCCACGGCCTCCGCCTGGAGACCCATGCGCCACATCCTCCTGGAGGACCCATGCACCATGGCCACCTGGAGACCCATGTGCCACAGCCTCTGCTGGAAGAACCATGCGCCATGGCCTCCGCCTGGAGACCCATGTGCCACAACCTCCTGGAGGACCCATGCACCACATCTTCCTCCTGGAAGACCCTTGCACCATGGCCTCCACCTGGGGACTCATATGCCACAACCTCCTGGAAGACCCATGCGCCTTGGCCTCCTCCTGGAAGACTCATGCACTATGGCCTCCGCCTGGAGACCCATGTGCCACATCCTCCTGGAGGACCCATGCACCACATCCTCCTGGAAGACCCATGCATCATGGCCTCCCCCTAGAAGACCCACGAGCCACAATCTCCTGGAAGACATTTGAATTCATCATCATCATCATCATCATCATCATCATCATCATAATAATAATAATAATAATAATAAAGTTGGAAGGGACCTTGAAGGTCATCTGGTCCAACCCCCTGCTCAGGCAGGAAACCCTATCCCATTTCAGACAAAGAGCCACAAGCCACGGCCTCCGCCTGGAGGCCCATGTGCCACAACCACCTGCAAGACCCATGAGGCACACCCTCCTGCAAGACCCATGTGCCACACTCATCCTGGAAGACCCATGTGCCACGGCCTCCTGTGCAAACCATGTGCCACAGCCAGCTGGAAAGCTCATGCGCCACAGCCTTCTGGAAGACCCATGTGCCACAGCCTCCTCCTGAAAAGCCCATGCGCCACGGCCTCTTCCTGCCCCCCCTCTCTGCCCAACTCTACAGCTCCCTTCAGTCCTCGACTTACTCTAATTCGCTTAGTGACGGTTTGAAGTTACGACGGGATGGAAAAGAAGGGCTTAGGACCATCTCCACACTTAACTTCCCCCCAAATTCCGATGCTTGGCCACTGGCTCCCCGTTTTGTGTCCTTGGGCGGATAAAATCAACCGGGGGGGGGGAGGGCCAGGTTCCATCAACAGCCGTACGACGAACCCAACAGCTGCAGCGATCTGCTTAGTGACGGGGTACAATGGGGCAAAAGTCACCCCAAAACGAGAGCTGCAGGGACCCCAGCGGCACCTGGGGGTGGTCCTGGGAGGGGGGGAGGGCAGTTGGGCCCGATCCAGGCAGGCTTGGAAGGAAGAAGCCCCTTTGGGGGGTGGGAGAGGGAGAAAGGCATCCCTCTTGCTATCCAGAAAGCCCCGGGACGCCCCAGATTCTTCCTTTTGGGGTGGGTGGGGTTGCATCTCGAACTCTTTACCGAGGCAGAGAACCTACAAAAGTGGGGAGGGGTCGCTCCTCGGTCAAAGCCGTGGGGGGTCCACTATGGCCGCTCGTCCAGCCCCCTCCTTTTTTGTTCCAACTGCCCCCTCCACCTGGAACCCGGAGAAGCCCCTCCTCAAAACACACAGTATTTGGGGGGGGGGATATCAGCAGAAGGAGATCAGCCCTCAGCTCCCCCAACGACATCAATGGCTGGCAGAAATAGAGAACCCCCCCCAACCAATGAGAAACCCCCCCACCACCACCAATGCCAGGGCAAGCTACTGTATGAAAATGGGGAGGAAGCCCCTTCCACACCGGCCCTGATGACGTCCCCTAGTTGGGTCACGAAACGTCTTCAAAGAACCACCCAGCTTTGACGACCTCAAGGATCCCACAGTCCTCCTCCTCCTCTCCCCTCACTCTTTTCCTCCTCCTCCTCTGACTCTGTAAGGGTCTCCTGCTCCAGCACGGGGTTGGACTAGATGACCTCCGAGGTCCCTTCCAGCTTGTTATTCTATGCCTCTGTAAGGGTCTCCTGCTCGAGCAGGGGGTTGGACTGGATGACCTCCGAGGTCCCAGCTCTGTTATTCAATGACTCTGTCAGGGTCTCCTGCTCGAAAAGGGGGTTGGACTAGATGACCTCCGAGGTCCCAGCTCTGTTATTCAATGACTCTGTCAGGGTCTCCTGCTCGAAAAGGGGGTTGGACTAGATGACCTCCGAGGTCCCTTCCAGTTTGTTATTCTATGCCTCTGTAAGGGTCTCCTGCTCGAGCAGGGGGTTGGACTGGATGACCTCCGAGGTCCCAGCTCTGTTATTCAATGACTCTGTCAGGGTCTCCTGCTCGAGCAGGGGGTTGGACTGGATGACCTCCGAGGTCCCTAATGACTCACTGGAGGTTTTTAAGAAGAGACTGGACAGCCATTTGTCTGAAATGGTATAGGCTTTCCTGCCTGAGCAGAGGGTTGGACTAGATGACCTACAATATCCCTTCCAAATTATTATTATTATTATTATTATTATTACTACTACTACTATTATTACCTCTGAGGCCCCTTTCAACTGTTATTCTCTAAGAGTCTCTTGCTCGAGCAGAGGGTTGGACTAGATGACCTCCAAGGTCCCTTCCAGCTCTGTTATTCTTTGACTCTGTAAAGAGTCTCCTGCTTTTCAACCTTTTCACTGACTGTACCACTTTTAGGATATGGCAATATTCGAGTACCGCCTACCAAGGTGTCAAAAACTTGACCAAAAAGAAAAAAAACAAACCACCCTGTTCAAAGTTGCAATTGCACTGAAATGACATGACCATTTTTCACACTTAACGACCATTGCAGCATGCCCAGGCTCATGCGATTTATATTTGGAGGCTTGGCAACTGATTCATATTTAGGATGGTCACACTGTCCCAGGGTCATGTGATCCCCTTTTGCAATCTTTTGACAAGCAAAAACCTGATGACCCCCCCCCCAAAATGAAAAAAGTGATAAAGTACAGGTAGTCCTCGACGTACGCCTGCAGCTCCTCTCCCACGGCAAGTCCTCCCCAGCGCTTTGGCTCGTTCCCTCCCCCGCTACACTTGGCTAGGCTGGGCAGAGCCGCGTACCACTTGCTAGGTGCCAATGTACCACTGGTGGTACCCGTACCACTGGTTCAAAATCCCTGGCTAGATGACCCTCGAGGTCCCCCCCAGCCCTCTTATTCTCTGATTCTGTCAGAGTCTCCGGCTTGAGCGGGGGGTTGGTCTAGATGACCTCCGAGATCCCTTCCAGCCCTGTTATTCTCTGATTCTGACTCCTGCTTGAACAGGGGGTTGGACTAGATGACCTCCGAGGTCCCTTCCAATTCTGTGATTCTGTAAGGGTCTCCTGTCAAACGGGGTTGGACTAGATGACCCCCGAGGTCCCTTCCAGCCCTGTTATTCTCTGATTCTGTAAGTCTCCTGCTTGAACAGGGGGTTGGACTAGATGACCTGTGAGGTCCCTTCCAATTCTGTGATTCTGTAAGGGTCTCCTGTCAAACTGGGTTGGACTAGATGACCCCCGAGGTCCCTTCCAGCCCTGTTATTCTCTGACTAATTACAGTCTCCTGCTTCAGCAGGGGGTTGGACTAGATGACCTCCGAGATCCCTTCCAGCCCTGTTATTCTCTGATTCTGACTCCTGCTTGAACAGGGGGTTGGACTAGATGACCTCCGAGGTCCCTTCCAATTCTGTGATTCTGTAAGGGTCTCCTGTCAAACGGGGTTGGACTAGATGACCCCCGAGGTCCCTTCCAGCCCTGTTATTCTCTGACTCTGTAATTACAGAGTCTCCTGCTTCAGCCGAGGGTTGGACTAGATGACCCCCGAGGTCCCTTCCAATTCTGTGATTCTGTAAGGGTGTCCTGTCAAACGGGGTTGGGCTAGATGACCTCCGAGGTCCCTTCCAGCCTTGTTATTCTCTGACTCTGTAATTACAGTCTCCTGCTTCAGCAGGGGGTTGGACTAGATGACCCCCGAGGTCCCTTCCAGTTCTGTTATTCTATGACTCTGTAAGGGTCTCCTGCTTCAGCAGGGGGTTGGACTAGATGATCCCCGAGGTCCCTTCCAGCCCTGTTTGACTCTGTCAGGGTCTCCTGCTCGAACAGGGGGTTGGTCTTGATGACCTCCAAGATCCCTTCTAGCCCTGTTATTCTCTGACTCTGTAATTAAGAGTCTCCTGCTTCAGCAAGGGGTTGGACTAGATGACCTCCAGGGTCCCTTCCAGCCCTGTTATTCCATGACTCTGTAAGGGTCTCCTGCTTCAGCAGGGCGTTGGACTAGATGACCTCCGAGGTCCCTTCTAGCTCTGTTATTCTATGATTCTGTCAGGGTCTCCTGCTTCAGCAGAGTGTTGGACTAGATGAC